AATTGCATTCGATTGGTGCCCACAGGTTAGAACAAGCCATTGCTGCGAGTTGTGCCCTGAAGTGAGTGGACATCTTGTTTACAAGATGACCTAAAGGAAAGGATTTTTACATAGGTTCCCATTAAGGCTTAGGTTGGCAAAATTTGCTTTTTGTGCTTATTAACTTAGTAATCATTTTATAGACTCACCGATTTCATTTCAATCGCTACAATCACTAGCCTTGTCACACTGTCTGGTCATGAAAATCTATCAGAAGTTCCTTCCATGACGGATCTTTATACGGTCTTGTTGAATGTCACACTTAATACTTTTTCCGCGTGCCTACGCAGTGGGTTTGTATGTCTTATTTCAGCGTCATTTATTAAGAATTACATTTTGTGCGTCTGCGAGCCAACAACAGCCTACTCATCCCGCCGTCCTGATACCCGCACGCATCCCGTGACTTACCGTTATTGTTGACTGGATTTACGCCAAGTGTTATCCCTCGAGTCATCTCGACTGTAACCTAAACACTTATTTACCATTTGCATGGCAAACCATTGCAGACAAGATAATCCTCTCTTTACAAGATTTTTAACCACAGATAAATTTAGGCTGAGAGACATCCACCTAGATTCGTGTTCATGATACTACTAGTTGATTTTAATGCCTGAACAATGGGATATAACCTATAAAAAGATGACATTACTTCGAATTATCATTGTTACATCAGCCAATACTACTTTATGGGTTTGCCGAGATATCAAAATCACGGCACTGTTTGTCGTTGTCATGGTTGCTTAAATAGACACCAATCGCCCGAAAGGTTTTGCTTAGGGACATTCATGATGTTCAACTTTTTATGTTAAAATAATGAATTCTATTGGTGTTTAATGGAATTTGGATGAAAAATATTAGCGAAATTATTTCTGATCTCATCGTTTTGATAATTAAAGAACTGTTAGAACTACTAAGTAATTAATTCACCTCTCATATTCTTAGAATATAAGGATTTCAAAAAACTACAGAAATTCATTTGTAGGTTTTTTTACATAAAAGCACCTTCTCTCCTGTCTAACTCAGATACTTTTATATCATTGAAAAAAATCGAAATAGCCTGTGGAAGTGGCTCTTTCCGGTTCATTAAAAGGCATTTCCAGTAGGAGTAACGATTTTCGGATCAGAAATGGGCGTTATTGAAATTTAGAGAGGGAGGAAGAAAGAAAAGATGGGCCTTCTGCTTATGTTTCTACCATCCTTCGTGTTGTATTCACACACGCGAAATCTAGGGCAGTTATTGGGAGAGGCGTGGGGAGGAGAGGCCGACATCGGGAATGGGGGCGAGGAGGCTAAGAGAATGTGGCGTTCTAAATCGGTACGACGTCATCTTCGGGCGAAAGCAGGGTGGTTACTAAATCTGCACAATCGTGTAAATGTGAAGCCCTGGAGTTGTGCGCATGTGGGTGTGTGTGCTCCGGCAGCGCAATCCACCACATCAGTCCTCAACATTGTCATATGACCGACGCACATCACTGTCCGTAACCGAATTGTCATGGTACTGCAAACTTAACAACAAAAATTGGGAATTTTTTTAAGGTTAGCACTTGTGCCCGCGTCTAACCCTCTAACTTGTTATTATTTTATCGGAGACCTCCATAAAGCCAAATGCACACTGTGCAGTAGTATCGATTATTCCCAAGCTAGCTCACTAACAATGCGACCCCCGGTTTTATCGATTATCACCTGGCCTATTTACTTGCTGCATTATTGGATGAATGGGTAATCGATAATCGGTTCGCTCGAGTGCCCTTGCTGTGCCAGTACTAATTTCCAAGGAAAAATTGAGTATTTTATTCAAATAGTCAGAATTTATTTGCCTTTTTTAGTGCTTATCAGCGCCAAGTTTTTGTGTTAGTAGTGAAAACCAACTTAGTTTAGCTTTGAAGAAGATTTTTGCAAGAACAAGAATAAAATGGCAGAATTACACGAAGTATTGAAATATATATGCGTAAATCCGGCTTTGATGGAAATTTGACAGACATTGGTGTTTCTTTGCGAATGGAAACTATTCTCTAGGATACTAATTTCTCACACTCTGAAAGAGATTTTGCAGGAAAATTTAGAATAACACCCTATTTCAACGCAAATAATGCACTTGAGAAAATACGGTGAACACTAAGTTAGCCAATCTGTTATTGATGTTATTGTTGTTGTTGTTGTTGTTAATTTTGTTTTGTTCTTGTTGCAGAACAACTTATAGGACGTTTAAAATCTCTCCTAGATATGCACTAGCCCGTGAGTCATTGTGAAGGAGACGCATGCACATGCCCCTCGTGCATCCTATGCCGCCGCAATGCACTGGCACAGCACGTGACGCGTTTATCGATTTTTCTGCTTTTGAATTCAAGCGCCGCGACGTCCGCATGCACGTGACTCAGAGTTGAGGCAGAGCACCAAAAAAGACATTGTGAAGATTTCAAATTTTTCAAATATAAAACCATTTTTAGAAGAAGTCCATTTAACGTTGGATAATAAGTTGGAGCATAAAGTGCATTTACCCGTTTTGATCTCTTACTGCTGGATAAAGTAAGGCAACATTTTCTTGGTATCGGTGCCACGTATATTTGACCCTCAAACGTCACAAATGTGTAACACGTGTTCTTTGTTTACGGTAACTGGTTTTACCTAATTTCCCATGATAAGACAGGTTACTTGAGATTAAACCAGTAGAATCGACTAAGGGCGTCGCTTTAGAAGATGTTTTTTTCTTTAAAATTTTTTAAGCAACCAGTGGCATACAAGAATAATAAAGAGCCTGAACTACGGCATTCGATGCTGAAAGAAATGGACTTTGGCTCGTTGTGACCCTAAAGGTCATGTCAAGAGGTGCCCCAAACTTCCCCAAAACAGAGACAGAAGAAGAATGGTTCCATTTGAAATGCTATTTTAATTCTTTAAAGCAGTTAAGACAACTGAGTTGAAATCAGCACAGCACAAACACCCTGAACATCCATTCCGCCGTCTGAACAATTAGCCGCCAGACTGAAGAAAAAGTCACTGTTTTCTAAAGATTTGCGAGCCACAATTTGTGACCTGGGCCACGCATATATGACCAAAGATTGCCGGAAAGACAGACAATGAGCCATGCTTGCCATCCATGCGATAATTGAAAAGGAAGCATGGGGGAATGCTTAGTTTTTGTCCAATATATTACGCTGTAAATCCGTATTCCCCTAAGGCAGATGGTTACTAGGTGCACGAACTACCTAAAGATCTCATTGCCAGGAAAACAAGGACAAATCGTGGTTGCGCTTAAGCACTTCCAGATAGCTATAAAACTTCCTGGAAGAGTAGGGAATACTATGCTACCAAAGTCAAAGCTTAAGTTCATAGAGGCTGACAGGCTTGAGTTGGCAGGCAGAGACTAAGGCAGATATTGAAATGCTGCAGCTTGTTGAAGAATTTAATGCTCCTAAAAGCAACGTCATCAACTTGAAATTTTCAAAGTCAGCAAGAGTATATATTGAACACATACTAATTAGTAGGATTGGGGAAATACCTAATAGTAAATGGTTTAGAAATTTTATAAAAGACAAATTTATAAATAACGCTATTAACCCATATACCGCATATTTACGTGAAGCTCAGCATCACCTGGACATGAAAATTCGCACAGTTTTCATTATAAATCACTTTATTGTAAAATAAATAGACCTACCGAATGTGTTTTACTGTGCATGCAGCGGTAAAAAGACATGCTGGAATCTAC